TATGGCAGGCCCTTCGCAGCTCTTCAGTTCGGTCATTCCACCAGTATACCTGTTTTTTACCTGACCATGCTCTCCTCTGCGGCATTGAGGCTTTGCATGCCCGGTGAATGCAGCGCATGGTTTCTTCGATCAGCTTAGTACAAGACTCCCTGTTGTGGATATCTCCCGTTGTGGTTGAAATACCTTGGGAATCTGCTAGCAGTGATGTGTCGAACTTGCGAACATCGACCCTAGACGGGTTCGAACCTGGTTTCCTGTGAGGGATACTACGTGTTTGCCCTCGCGTTGTGTTACTTGGAAGGTGATGTAGTGGTGGTTGCTACCACTCAGGTCTTCCATCACTCTCCATCCGTCAGCCCTTCGAAGAAGGCTTTCTGAGACCAGGGTTATGTCAGGGATAAAGTTTCCAAAACCCGGCCTTCGATATGTAGGGGTCGTTCCGGTGTTGAGGATGGTCAGGCCAATGCGGGCTGCCATTTCAAGGACCAGTCTTCCCCTGGTGTTTGTTTGGGGTATACTCCATTCCACGCCTCTTGCGTTGAAATCTCCAGCAACAATTATGTGGCCGGTTATATCGCACAATTCGTCTTCAAGGTCTTCGAGCTTTTCCCTGAAAACAAGGACTGCGTCGTTTGGAGACAGGTAGCAGCTCACCAGAGCGATTTGCGCCATTTTCACCCAGACGTAGCAGCGTCCGACTCCGCTGCTCTCTGCGCGAGCCTGATTGGTCAACATGCCAAGTTTCCTTTGTTCTATAGGGTTCACTGATGATGACAGCGTATGCTCTTTGTTCAAGAACCAATTGATCCAGCAGGTCATCAGCTACCCTACTCCTGTTCATATTGCATTGTATAAATTTAGACATATTCTCCCAAGCTTTGTTTTAGCCTCAGCAATGGCATCCCTGAAGGCCTTGCACGCTCCCGATCCGGGCAGGTGATTGGCATTTTTCTGTCCATCTCCTGTCGAGCACAGGTAGCAGCTTGGGCTTTCTTTACATGCAGAGGCTATGTGGCCCTGCTGACCACATTTCCAGCATGAACTGCTTCTGTCTGGGCTTTTGCATGCCGCCTTTTTGTGACCATATCCCAGACAGCGGAAACACCTTTGGACATCCGCGCGCTCTCGGACACGGCAGATAATCCAACCTACTCGCTAGTATTTTCTTAAACCCCAAAATTTTTATTTATATACACAAAAAAAAATTATTAAAAACATTTTTTCCCTCTATATAAACTCCTGCCCCCCTAAGTGAAAGGCTGGCTACGCGCTTGTATACAAAACAATTAAAGTAGGCTGACTTCCAAAACGCCAATTGCATTGCATACGTACAAAGTATAATGTTCCATAACGTCGAACTACAAAATGTTGACAATGTATACTTTTCCAAAACGCATCCGAAAAGTTATCGACACGCATCGCTAGAGTAATCAGCGCATTAGAAACAAAGTTGATACTACGTTTGTTTTAGTTACGATTGGTGTCAATGGAAAATTACGAACGGTGATTCATTTAGGGAGTTCACAAGGTGTTGTATACTGTCGTACTGTTGTATGTCATAAACTTTAAACGGCTAAAACTATATTTAAGGAATTCGCAAGTTAATATAAAAGTTTTATTATGAAATTTCACACCGTTAAAAAATAGTTGGTGGTGATTTAAAGTCCTCTAAACATTTATGTAGCCGTCAAAAACATTACAACATACGACAATACGACACGTTCGACACCTTGTGAACCACCCAATTGTTATATTAAATATTCAAAATATGCAATGTATGTGGTAGCAATGTTTCGCAACTCTGCATTTACAAACAGTTTAAATACCGCAGTAGAACGGTATCTAAACATTGTACGTTTTGGAACTCAGCCGTACTTAAACCGTACATCATACGTTCAGTTTGTTCTTTTAGAGCGCATACATGGTTCCATAATAATGATTCCAGTATCTTCATTTATGTATACTTAATGTGACCAACTATTTCATAGCTCCAAGAAGTACAGGATAAGTTGGGCTTAGTTAACGTCGCGAGCCGATGACGAAATATCGAATGCGGAGATGATTCCACTTCATCTTCCTCTTGACAGCTGATACAAAAGGATCAGTCGAAATTCCTAGTCTCACTGCATGATTACCAATCGCACAATGTCCTAGCAGAAGTGATGGGGACTAGCCATTGAGAGATAACGTGTTTTAAAGTACCCTATAAAAACATTTGCTGCAGCAGTGAAACGTCTTCTTTTCCTTTTTATGTCACAAAAGGACCCGGTTTCCCTTAGCCTAATAGCGGTTCGTGCTGCGACAATTCTGTCTGCAATATCCGTAGGTACCGTGTTCAACATATGTATGTTAAGATCCAGTGTAGGTGTGGTTCCTAATGCTCCGTCAATTCCTGTTTTACAAGTGTAGTCTTCTCCATTGAGTTTCACCAGACAAGGGCTCCTTGAAACAATATAGGCATAAATCTGGCTTCCTAGAGCTAATGAACTAATTTGGGCGAGAGACCCCACCTTTTACCGATAGCACCCCTACAGCGGTACAAGGCAACCAATGCCTTTCCTACCCTTTCCTCAATGTTAGGCTTCTACGACAGCCGCCGCTGATCGCCCTCCTAGTTACCTGGTTCAGGTAACCTTGAGCCAAATCAAAAAGGGTGTATAGAAATCGTCCCTTAATCAAAAGTTCCACATCATCTACAGATTACCCGACAGCCCAAATTTTCCAATTCCTCTAAAAGGTCATTTACAACCGCAATGCAGAGCAGGGGAGAGGGAACACCACCTTGTGGAGTGGTTCTATTGGCTCTGCACTGATTGCAGACGCTCCCCCACCCCGCCGCGACTGTTCTGTCACGAAGTAACATGAATATACTTGACTATTGCCTCAGGAGTGACATTGTTAAAGGCTCCTTCGATATCGAAGGCCCCTACTGCATAATCTTCATGCGTGAAGGCTCCCTCTGAGCACTTTAGCAATGTGTACAGGGCGGTATTCACCGACCTTTCCTTGCAATAAGCATGTTGAGCTCTTGAAAGACAGTCACCAGTAATCGCATTTCTTATGAACAGGTCTATCAGTCTCTCTAGCGTTTTTAGCAAAAACGGGGGAACATGAGAGCCTTTTCCGGCCTTCGGGATGAACGCGAAACTGACTATCTTCCAAACCTTGGGGATGTACCCGGCCCTCATGCAGTTCGCATAAATAGGATCAAACCAATTGCACGACACCTTCAGAGCTGCAAAGCTTCGCAGGTGTGATGCCATCGGTCCCCGGCGACTTTAATGGTTTGAACGAATTTATCGCCCAGGCCATGTGACGGACCGGGGAGGAGATCCTGTTACCAGTTAGCGACAATTTTCGAATCGCTATCGTTCTTTTGACACAAACACATTTATATCCTAGCGATCCGGAAATTATCCCTGACTGGTTACAGAATCTCCCTCCTGAAGTACAAAATATCGCAAAGAAGTACATTTGACTGTACTTCGAAGTACGAAGTACAAGAGCGAAAAAAGAAGTACTGTACTTCCGAAAGAAGTACGGTTGGTCACATTATGTATACTGTAACTATCAATATCTTATTAAGAGAAGTGTACAATTTTTTTAATCTAAAACTAATAAAGTTAGAAGGACGAAATTTGAGGATGTAGTAGTTTACATATTAGTCCTTGACATATATTTTTTTCAAAAATAAAAATTGGAAATTTCCAAGGATATTCAAGGAAAAAGTTTTAAAAGGACATTTTCAATACTTATTCGTCCTGGTGCACCCAAAAATTAAATTTTTTTATATTATACAGAATTTTTCCTTCTGATTGATACCCATAATGGTACTCTGTAATGCATCGAATCTTCTGAATAACACAGGTTTACAAAAAAAAAGTGTATGCATATTAAACCAAACCCCTATAACCCTATGTTATTCGACATGCTGAATGCGAATCCGAGGTCCGTTAGCTTCCATCACGTCAGGTTCATTGTCATTTGAAGGTCAAGTAGGAAAAAATTCATTGCATAAACCTGAAAATTCAATAAAGTTCTTCGGAATTTTACCTTGGGATGACCTTGACTTTTAGATGACCTTGAGGAATCAGGGGTCCCTTGATACTCGGTTTCAGCGACAACAAAAACAAAAATTTTTATTTTGGTTTTTATTGAATAAACTTTTTATCCTATGTGACCTTCATTTGACCTCGAAGCTGACATTATGGAGGTTAACGGACCTCGTATTCGGGTTCCGCGAATCTAAAACCTTATATATATGAACTTTCAGGTTTATTCAATGAATTTTTCCCTACTTGACCTTGAACTGACCACGAACCTGATGTGATGGAGACTAACCGACTTCGGATTCTCAATCAGCGTGTCGAATAACATAGGGATATATAGGTTTGGTTTAATATGCATACACTTTTTTTTTGTAAACCTGTGTAATTTTTTTATTCAATCATACTCTAGAAATTTCAAAGTCCTTTTAAAAAAAATCCTGACGTCAGAGAGAAAAACTAAAAACGCAGTTTTACTTTATTTGGCCCGCAGGTTTGTGAATATATTGATTTTTTTGTGCGTAAAATTGAATGTCGTACGGTGTAATACAATAAATAAACAAAACTTGTCAATATAGATGTCGCATAGTTATGATCTGGACTATTCTTAGTAGAGAATTAGCTGTTTTATTAAATAATTTTAAAAAGTACAAAGTCATTGTTATTGCGAACTGAAATTAAAAATCAAAATAATATTTAGATAACTTGTTTTCTATTAAACTTTTAACAAATTTGTAATTGCTATAAGTATAATATCTTAAAAAAAAATGTCATATTGTGAAGGGCTAAGATTTCTTAAATAATTTGTTTGCCATTTTGGATCTGTCATTTAGAATTTTAAGTAAATGGCTTTAGATTCGTATTCAACGACCCAGAAAACCCCCAGATACCCAGTTTCATAGAAATCTAAAAATTTTTTTAAATTTTCGTCCGCCATTTTAAATTTTTCATAAGTGACTTAAGATTCGTAATAAGCGACCCAGAAACCCCACAGATATCCAGTTTCAAAGAAATCTACCGATTCTCTAAATTTTTCTTCCACCATATTGGATCCGCCATTTTGAATTTTTGGGAAATAACTTCAGATTCGTAATCAGCGACCCAGAAAACCCTCAGATACCTAGTTTTGTAGAAATCTACCGATTCTTTACATTTCTCGTCCGCCATATTGGATCCGCCATTTTGATTTTTGGTAAGTGACTTCAGACTCGTAATCAGCGAGCCAAAAATCCCCTAGGTAAGAAGTGGTGTAAAAATCCATCAACAAGTATTTGTTTAAATAGTTTCGTCCAGCTAGATTTGCGATCCGAACCACTATGCCGCGGGTGCCCCAAACAGCCCAGAAAGCATTCCTCACGCTAGAAAAGTGGGTAATAGAGAGCGAATACCTTCCACTTCTGGATCGTAAATGTATTCTTCTTCGTGCCCGAAACAGCCCGGACTTTTTTCCGGGCAATGTGCAAGAAGTCGATTTGAAATAACAGCTGTTGTTTGTTTACATTCGACAGCAAATTTTATAAAATTCAAAATTAGAAAATAGCACCAAAGGTTAAGAAATGTAGGTATTTTTATACCCGAGCGCACTTGTGCACAAGGGTATATTAATTTTGTTCACATAACGGTTGTTTGTAACAGCCAAAACGAATCGAGATAGATATAGACAAATCTATACATAAATGCTCAGAACGAATAGAGAAGTCGATTAAGCCATGTCTGTCTGTCCGTCCGTCTGTCCGTCTGTCCGTCCATCCGTGTACACGATAACTCGAGCAAAAATTGAGATATCTGAACGAAATTTGGTACGTAGGTTTCCATTTATCCAAGGTAGGTATTGGTATTGAAAATGGGCGAAATCGGACAGTAACCACGCCCACTTCCCATATAACGGTAATTTCCATATATACGAACACTGCGATATTTAATATCTACTGACGCTAATTCACTCAAAATTGATATTTGCAATAATTTTCAGACGAAAAATAAGAATATTACAAATTTTTGGAATATGGGCGTAGCCACGCCCACTTATGGTTACATGTATATATCTTGGTAACCGCTGCACCAATTTCTTCCAAACACACAGTTGGCACAGTTGTTGGACCTGCTACAGCATACCAAATGGCCGAAAATGTTTAAAATCGGACAATAACCACGCCCACATCCCATATAACGGTAATTTAGAGAAATACAAAATCTTCGATAAATCAGTAAATATTGAAGCTAATTTATTCAAAATTGATACTTGCAACAATTCTTTACCAAGAAATACGTTTATCATAAAATTTTGGAAAATGGGCGTGGNAAAAATACGTTTATGACAAAATTTTGGAAAATGGGAGTAGCACCGCCCACTTGTGATCACATATATGTATCTCGCTAACCGTTCTAGCAATTTGTACCAAGCTCGGTATGGTTATTGTGCTTGCCACATAAAAACAAAACGCTAAAGATTATTGAAGTCGGACTAAAACTACGGCCGCTTTTCATATAACGGTAAATTTCAGAAATGCTTGAAACTTCAATATTTCGAAATTTAAGGACGCTAATGTACTTAAAATTGATACACCCCGGCTTACCATGTAGCGGTAGCTTTCGGAAAGGTGAAAAAACTTATATTTAATACTTGCGCCGGGTATTTAATTTTCGGCTCCGCCAGAACTTAGACTTTCTTACTTGTTTAATTTTATAAGCTATATAAGCCAAATACACATAAAATCATTGTTTAGAACTGATTTGTTGATTCCGGGCACGAAGGTGTCGATGCTTTAGGTCCGATATTCTTTAGGCATCGATACTTTTTTTCGATACTACCTCCAAGTAAAAGTCTCGATGCCTGCATGGTATCGTTTCATCCCTAATAACAGTATTTTTCGTTAATGTATATAATCATGAAGAACAAAATATTTCCATTAATTGGATGTAAGAGCTATGAATTGATTTATCCAAAAAGATTGCCCATATTATTTTTTTTAGTTGATCGCACTTTAGATCTAGGTGTGCGATATGTTAACGCATAACTTTGGACCACGTTAACCGATTTCAATAATTCGTTTTTATCGAAAAGAACGTACCGTAAGGGTCGTCCCGTAATTTGGTTTAGATCCGATCATTGGATTATGAAAAAATTAACGGTACCCCTAAACTTGTATATGAGAATTGAAGTCGGTTGCGTTTTTTGCTTAAAAATTACTTATTTAATATTTTTTGGGATATTTGCGAGTAAAAATTTTAGAAATCGCCATTGGCGATTTTTGGCGTTTTTTTCCCTTCAATTAAATTTCTTCCAATTATAAAAATATACAAAACTTAGTTTTTCACGGTAATTTTACAGAAGAGGATTAGCCTCTTACCGCGTTATAAACTTGACTTAAGAAACATATTAAAAGACTGTAAAAAAGTTTTAATCACCCTAATCGAAGAACTTTTGAAACTTTTGATTATGTAGTCAATTAAATACTTTTAAAAAAGCTTTGATTTTTTCGCCAGAAAAGTTTGTAAATCACAAGAGGGCGAGTTTCAGGGACCTTCCAATTCACTATTTGGCTTTGAAAGAAAGAAAAGCAGCGGAAACTGAATATTTAAATCTTTTAACTTTCCCATGGAATAACTTTTTTCAGAACCATTCTATCCGACTCTGAAGAATTTTGGATAATTTCTTACGGAGTGACGATAAAATGTTTGGAAATATAAGTAAAGAAGTCTTCATATTATTATCCTTGCCGCAGTCACATGCTTTTGTTGAGCGCGTTTCTCCGTAATGAATTCAACAAAACTAACATTCGAAATAGGATGAGGTTGGAAAGCCTTAATTCAATAGTTCGAATAAAGTGTTATATGAAGGCTAATAGTTTGTGCAGCAAAACGTTTCCAATATCAAACAGTATGTTATCAAGGTTGAATAGCTGAATGTATGACAACAACAGAAATGTAAATAATTCAGACACTATAGGTGATTTTGAAAAAATTTTGGAAATAGCTGATCTCGCCTTATTATAGGTTTTTATTTTATTTTTAGCGCCGAGCTCTTAAAAGCGGATTGTGCGATTAATCAATTAATATGAGTTCTAATAAATTTAATAAATGCGCAGTTCTATTGCAAAATGTGTTTAAACACATATTTTTAAAAAGTATGTGTATTTTTAAAGAAAATTGTTTGTACATCACTATTATATAAGTGATTTGTGTTATTTATTATTACCCTCTGTAGGTATTATATTCGTTTTTGGTTTTAAAAACTACATTATAACAAGATCTCATTTTTAAAATAAAATATTTGTTAAATCGATTTCATGAATTTTATTAAAAAAAATTGGCGATTTTTGGCGCATTTTTTTTCAGAAATTGCGCTTTATTTTAACAATCTGGACACCCTGGTAGATGCTGTCAAATCTACGAAGCGCGAATGGCGCGACCTTTATTTTCTGGATCGTGCATGTATACACTATTACTTGGCGGTAGTAAAGAGTGAACATGAAGCTGAAAAATAAATAATATAAAAAAAACTTTTTAATATACAACGCTTTTATAAATGGACTAAAAAGTAGAAAATAATATTTCTCAATTATTAAATATTATCTATGAAATTGAAAATGAAAAACGTGGAGCGCATGCAATACAAAGCATTCGATTTAATTGACAATAGTCAAACTACATAACGTAGACCTAAAATTTCTACAGCGAAAGTAGAACTTTGAAATCGATTTTAAGCGGTCGTTATTCATATACCCACATACATACATACATATATTACTTTTCATATCAATTCAAGTGTATTACATGCGCCCCACGCTTTTCATTTTCAATTTCATAGATAATATTTAATAATTGAGAAATATTATTTTCTACTTTTTAGTCCATTTATAAAAGCGTTGTATATTAAAAAGTTTTTTTTATATTATTTATTTTCTACTTTTTAGTCCTGTCTGAATAAAATTTTGCAATAGATATTAAAATAATTCAACGATATTAATAGAAAGGTGCACACACATGCATTTACATATGTATGTACATACAAACGAGCACCAATTAATTTTATTTAAAGAAATGGCGTGTCGTCTATTTCCGCTGTAGCAAACGTAGTACATAGGGCGACATCTAGATGTCATCTACATCGCCCTATTCACTACAGATGTCGCCCTATGCACTATGATTTTTTATAGGAACTTTTCAAAGCAAAGGTTTTATGGTGTCGGACACACAACATTGAAAGTTTCTGGATCCACAACATTGAAAGTTTCTGGACACACAACATTGCAAGTTGATTAAAGCGTTGTAATAAAAAGCACAAAAAAAGCATACGTTACTTGCAAGTTATAAAAACAATAGTAGAGTTCACTTTTGATGCGAAGGCAAAATAGCGTTTGTTTTGTTGCTTTCCTGTGCGTTTGTGCGAAACGACGCCATAACGGTGCCATATATTTGTTGTAAAAAGCTGCCGATTTTCGTACTTTCGCTCAAACGCACACAGTTTGGCATCAAAGTGTGAACTCTAGTAATATAAATTTTAACGATTTCAGCAACACACAAAAATAAAGCTTTCGCACGAGCGTTTGTTTGTCTTTTCAACTGTCAAAATTTTACTTTGCCTTTGGCACAGCAAAATTCAATCTATTTGTACACCCCAGCAAATTTTTCCACACCGTCTCACCACGGAGAAAAAAGTTACCGATTGGCGCAGGCTCTTAGTAAGCAAAGTTAAGTGTTAAAGTAAAAAGGTGTAAGCATGGTCGTAGCCAGGTAAGATGCAGGGCGCTCGAGTATAAAAATCAGAAAAATATTAAATTAATTATAAGGCTTCAATTAAAAAATGGCAGAGTCTGGAATTCTTTTGTGGAATTTAGATATTTAGTTTTGATATTTATTGTTGCTTTGAAAAAGATATCTAAGATATCTTTGTTTGTTTCTACTAATTAATGAAAACGATCTCAAATATGTGATTATTAGAGCTCGAAATATCATGCAAATGCATGTTTTTACTGGTTATCTTCAAATGGAAATCGTAAAGATAGCTTTACGAATCATGAAATTTCCTTTAAAATGGCATTCAATCGTTAGTGCATATTTTTGCATATTTTGCAGTAAATGAGTAGT